AAGGTTTTTGTTCCACTGTGTTCCTGAAGTTTCTTAAGTGGACTTGAGAGCTCTCCCAGAGCTGCTTTTATTTGTGGATAGTTGTCTAATTACTGATCTTTGTGGGGGAATGGAGGCTGGAATCTTGTACTCCACCGTATTGGTGATGTCACTCCAATATCTCTTGTATGTGATGAGTTGTTTCTCTCTTGTTGCTTTCGATATTCTCTCTTTGTCTTTGGGCTTTGATAATTTGACTATAATGTATCTTAGTGTGGGTCTCCTTGAGTTTATCCTGCTTGTAGTTCGTGGAGTTTCTTGGACTCCATGTATATTCATGTCTTTCCTCAGATTTGGGAAGTTTTTTGTGATTATTTCTTCAAATATTTTTTCTGCCCCTTTCTCTCTCTTCTTCTGGGACTCTGATAATACATATGTTTGTATATTTGATAGTGTCCCACAGGTCTCTCAGGCTTTGTGCATTTTTCTTCATTATTCTTTTCTCCTTCTGTACCTCAGACTTGATAATTTCAAATGTCTTATCTTCAAGTTTGCTGATCTTATCTTCTGCCTGCTCAGATCTGCTTTGAACTCCTCTAGTGACATCTTCATTTCAGTTATTGTACTTTTTAGCTCCAGAAGTCTGTTTCATTCCTTTTTGTAATTTCTATCTCTTTGTTGATATTCTCATTTTGTTTATACATCATTTTCCTGATTTTGTTCTTTGTCTATAGTTTTCTTTTGCTAATTGAATATATGTAAGACAGTTGATTTAGTATCTTTGACTAATAATTCTAATGTCTGGGCTTCAAGGATGGTTTCTGTCAAATTCGCTTTTTTCCCCTGTGAACGGGCCATACTTTCCTATTTCTTTGTATGTTTTGTAATTTTTTTTTTTGAGACTGAGCATTTTGAGTATTATGTTGTGGTAACTCTGGAGATCTAATTCTCCCCTTGTCAGGGATTGTTAAATCTTGCTTGTCAAAGGCTGGAGCTATCCATTTGTGACTTTTCCAATCTTTTTTTTTTGCAAAGTATGCATTCCTTGTTGTGTGTGGTCTTCTGATGTTGATGTTGTTGAATTGATGTTTCTCTTCCATTATTTCTACAGTCAACCAGTATCCTGTAAAGGATTTTTTTTTTTAAATATCTGGCTCCAAAATGTGGGAAAAACAAGTAGTTTCTTTAAATCTCCTGGAAGCTGCTTTATCCCTTGGGGGTTTTAACAATGGCCAGCCTATGTATTGGCTCCTCAGTGATCAAAAGCAATGCTCAGTAATCAACACACGAAACCCAATTTTTGGAGGATGAGGTCCCTGGAGCCCACTTTGCTAGCGGCAAGTTGCAAATAAAGGTGGACTACTACCCCCATGGCTGTCTGCCACAGGGCTGGGGGCCCGGAGAATGGTGAACACTTCAAGAAAGGCCAAAACTCATCAGCTTCTTCATTAATCTCTTCCCTGGCTCCTGCAAGTGTTCAGCCACACTCCATACTTTCAAAATAGTTACTATTATGGATTGAATTGTGTCTCCCCAAAAGATATGTTGAAGTCCTAACCCCAAGTCCCTCCAAGTGTGACCTTATTTGGAAATAGGATCTTTACAGAGATCATTAAGTTAAAATTAGTTCGTTAGGGTGGACCCTAATCCAATATGACTGGTGTCCTTATAAAAGGGGGGAATTTGGACACAGAGGCAGACATGCGAAGAAGGAAGACAATGTGAAGACACACAAGGAGAAGATGGCCATGTGACTGGAGTGAGGTGCCTACAAGGCAAGGGACACCAAGGATAGCTAGTAACCACCAGAAGCTAGAAGAGGCAAGGAAGGATCCTCCCCTAGAGCCATCAGGGAGAGAATGGCCCTACCAACACCTTGATTTTGGACTTCTAGTCTTCAAAACTGTGAGACAATGTATTTCCATTGTTTCAAGCCAGCCAGTTTTTGGTGCTTTGTTATGGCAGCCCTAGGAAACGTACACAGTTACTTCAGACAGTTGACTGTTCAATAATTGTTTAGGTGGTGGGTTGGAATCCTGGAGCTTCCTACTTTGCCATCTTCTATGACATCCTTATTCATTATTTTTAAAAAAATTTCTCTCTCTGCTTATTATAATGTAAGCTCTATGAGGGCAGGGAGTTTTGTCTCTTGTATTAACTGCTATGTCCTCTGTATCTAGAGCATTAACAGACAGGTGCTAGAGCAGTAGGCATCCATGAATAATTAGTGAGTGCATTAAGACATAAATGACTACACACAAGACACACACAAGACAATGTCGTCCCACCATGTGTTAAATGTGATATCTGGGCATAATGTATTATAAAACATCAGCTATTTGGGAAGGTCAGGAAAGGTTTCAGAGGAGAGATGCCCAAGCCTCTTACAGGCTGAGTGGGAGGTTGACGTAAGGACAAGGTCGAGTGCACCCACAGTGAGGCATTGGCACTGGGAAAGGCACTGGAGTGGGAGGCAGCATTGGGGTCCATACCTGTGAAGACGGAAGGGACGGAGTGTGCGAGGAGAGGAGAGCCTGAAGAAGGGGGGCTTGCTCAGAGTGAGGGCTTGGGGTCAAGGAGCCAATAACAAACAGTCAGATTTAAAAGACAGAAAAGTCACTGCTGGCTGCATAGAGGATGGAACTGAAGGGGACAAGTGGTGAGTGTGAGGCCAGTGCAACCCCACTGCATTCATGTAGGGGGAGGGTAGGGGGCCGGATCAAGGCAGGGACCTGGTCTCAGAAGGAGGGAGAGCAGGCCATGGGAGCCACAGGTAGATCCTTGAATTTGGGGCAGAGTTTAGGGCGTGGGCTTTCATCTGAATTGCAAATTCCAGCAGAGAGCTTGATTTCAAAACAATTTCATAGCATACGTTTTGCAGCCATGAGCCTATAATAGAATCTGGCACTTGTAACTATGTGGTCTGAAACATGTGTGCAGGGACACTTATCTTGATTTTTAACAGCACTGGGTCAAAGGCATTCCTTCCTCCTTTTATGCCTCTCAGTGCCCCTGACAAGGACCCAGCGTCCTGTGCCTAGTTGTTCTGAGTCTGTTTCTTCGAGCCAGAACGGCATGTGACGTCCTTTAGGGCAGAGGCTGGCCTTGCACTGACAGCATGCTGCCTGGCATGTGGGGGCGCCTAGGGACCATACAATGTGTGTTTTCTCTGCTCATTGATGCCTGGGTGCTGTGAGAAGCTGCACCTCACTTGCTCCTCCAAAGAACCAAGACTTCACGTTTGAAATTGCCTCTGTGGCAGCAGTTGAGTTCATCGTGAGACAACAAAGCAAACGTGAAACATGCCAGCCATGGGGACTACTCAGGGGCCCCCTATGCCAGGAGTTTCTATTGCTGCATCAGATAGATTTCCTGGGATGTTACTTATTTCTCTCCAGTAAGTATTTGGGGCTACTGAGAATGAAAAAGTGAGCTTTTCAAAATGCTCCTTGTGACCCAGGAAATAGTAAGGGCTCTTTCTCAGACCCTACAAGACCACTCTGGAGAACCGTATGCAAGGCTGGCAGAGGAGCGTGTGTGGTGGGCACCTGAGTCTACAGGTTAGCTGCTGGGCAGGGCTCCACTGGAGCTGATGGGAGCCCCCTCCATGTGTCCTCTCTCTGGGGACCCCATGGGGCAGCAACACCTCCTGGGGCTTGCTCTTCTTACAACTGAACTGAGGCTCCAGAGAGGCTTGCAGTAACATGGGATGCTTTTATCTAGTCCACCCACCTTCCTTTGGTCAAAGCAAGCCACTGGCCAAGCACAGAGTCAGTGGGGTGGGGAAGTGGATTCATGTGCCCCACTGGGGGGCCACTGCAGAGGGCATCCATGTGAAGTCTTATTGCAGGGATAGAGAGCTGGGGAGTCATCCAATCTTCCCAAATATACAATGAAGCATTACTTTCATGACATCAAGAGACCTGGTGTCCAACAGAGTGTGACTTAACATATCTTACATATCTCCTTACATATTTCCTACACATGTCACTTACATATCTCCACATTGGTTTCAGCTTTCTGCTTGTGATTTTGAATGATCCTTTCCAGATAGTTACCATTGGACGGGTTCTCCTCCTGCTCTTTAGAGACATCCACACAAGGCAACTGCCCCAAGGCAGCAGGTCCAAGAGTCCCTCCTTAACATCTCATGGGCTTCCCTGAGGTGCATAGCAGTGACAACATGGACTGACATCCCCCGAGTGTGCTGGAAGCAGGCCCGATGGTTACGTCCTCTTCTGTTCTTCATTAGCAACATGAGCCACAAGGGGGCATGCTTTTGGAACACAAATTTCTTACAGAAACTCTACAACCACTGCATGTTTAATTGATTACAATAATGTGAAATTTATGTCCATCAGAAAGGTACACTGGATGCTGTGACTTACTAGAGAAGCCACTTCCTAGTTAATGAATCTGATACCTGTTATCATATTAGGAACATTAGCAGGGTTGGGAAGACTGCACAGAGGGCATTGGTGAACAGCAGTTTAGCACAGATTTACCGTGTGTAGTCTGGAATCAGAGAACTGTGTTCAAGTTCTGTCTTGGCCACTTACAAGATCTGTGCCTCTCTATGCCTTGATTTCCTCATCTATCAATCGAAGGAATGGCGACCACACCTGAGGGATGCTTGAGGATTAAATAAGATGATATGTGCATGGAGTTACTGTAGAACTTGGTCCACTGCAGGGCTAATAATGCTGGTTAGATGGTTATGGTCCCAGCCATTGTGTGAGGTTCTACACGACTTTATCTCATTTAAGATTCAAAGCAGCAGGGGGCCGCAGCTGAGGAGAAGGAGGGCCAGTTAGTTGGTCATATGGCTGGAAACAAAGACATAGCAATGGGCTCAAACTCAAGGTTTTGTGGTTTCCAAAGTTCGCTTTGGTTACCTTTTGAACATCCGATACTCTTTACAGTTTGCTGAAAAAGTGCTTTGGATTTTGCACGTCAGTCACAGTGTGGGTAGCTCCTCTGGGCTTCCATGGATGTGATGTCAATGTCCTTTTCCTCCACAGATTCCCGTGCTCCTGAACCTCAGCCAAGACCCCGAGGTCAGCCTTCCTGCGCCACCGCTCATGTATGCCCTGGCCCTCGGCGCCTGCCTGGGAGGTAAGGGGGTGCTGATGCATGGAGGTGAGGGGCCACTGACACTGTGGTGAGCCTGAAGTGATGGTTAGTGTGTGCCAAATTGAAAGTAAATTAGGAGAGTCCAGATGATCTCCTGAGTGGAAACCCATCTTCAGCTTTGACTGGGGCAATTCTAGAGCTACTCAGTTCCTCTGTGAAGACTGTCACTTCCCATTCCCTGCAGAACTGCCCCTGACATTGTAAGCCCATGGCCTAAGGACCATCGTCACTGACATTTCAGAGTTAACGTGCCCACGCTGCACCATGCAGATGCAGCTCTAGATGTAGTGTCTAGAAACAGACTTGAATCAGAGGCCAGCCTCAGCTGGCTCTCTTTTTCATTTGCTCCTTAAAGGGGAGGAGTAATGAAGTGACGAATGGGTGAGCTAAGAAGTAGAGACTCTAACCTAAGAGTAAGAAGAAAGATTAAGGATTTTGGGGGGGAAGGGGGTGTTGTCCTTTGGAGAAATTGTAAGGTGAATCAGGGAAAGGGTCAGGAGAGACTAACCTCTGGTGAGCACACAGGACTTTGGATGTGATTGTCTTTGGAGGGAGCTGTGTTAGAGTCCGTCTCACATTTGAGAGGCCTCACCACCTCTGGGAACACAAGAGGATTTTGAAGATCTTAGATACCCACACCAGATGCATTTAAGTTTTTATTCTTACATCCAAGCATGCTTAGATAATCCAGCTTGCTTTGTTCTTTAGTTGATCTGACTATTAAATCCAATAACTTTCTGTTTAGTTTATCTCTTTATTTGTAAAGGGGGATTAATGTCATTCAGTGAAGTTGCTATGATTTCTGGAGACAACTAATTCACCTAATTCAGTGACTGAGGCCTCAAGTTCTTACTCGAGAGTGCAGACTGGAGGGAAAGTCAGGGAGGGCTCTCAGAGAGGGAGGTTTGAGCTGGGTTTCAAAGGGTGAGAAGCCTCCTGGGCTAGTTCTGATTCCCCCAGAACATGTAGAATGAATGTGGAGGGGGTTGTCAAGGACAGACGCTAACATGGACCATTTATATGGCTGATAACCTAAAATATGATTCAACACTTGTTGACTGAGCCCCTTTTAGAAGCAGGGATACAGCCGTAATGAACAATAAAGGTGTTAAGCCTCGGGATCTTTGTAACCTCGTAGCTCTGGTCATTGAATGGTGTTTGTCTGTGGTATGCCCAGTTGTGCTGGGTGCTGACTCTACACTTATTCTGTTGGGGACCCTCTCTCATTGACTTTGTTTGGCTTTTTGTTGTTGTTGTTGAGGAAGATTGTCTGTGAGCTAACATCTGTGCCCATCTTCCTCTATTTTGTATGTGGGACACCGCCACAGCTTGGCTTAATGAGTGGAGTGTAGGTCTGTGCCTGGGATCTGAACCCATGAACCCCGGGCTGTCAAAGCAGAACGTGGGAACTTAACCACTATGCCACTGGGCTGGCCCCTCAGTTTGACATCTTTAAAAAAATTGTGGCAAAATACACATAGCATAAAATTTATGATTTTAGCCATTTTTAAGTGTACAGTTCAGTGGCATTAAGTGCATTCACATTGTTGTGCAACCATCAGCATTATCTATCTCCAGAACTTTTTCATTTTCCCAAACAGAAACTCTATACCTGTTAAACCATAACTTCCCATTCCCCCAGTGTTTGGCATTTTAAAGACCACTTTAAATACAAATTTTCAGTTGGTTTGTGAAATGTCATTTGTTATATAAATTGAGTGTGATTCACTAGTTAGTCTGAAACAAAGATATCTTTCCTAGTTTGATCCTAATACCTTTTGGTTGCTCTTTTTACTAAGAGCTAAGAAAAATTTGAATAAGTCTTAAGAGAAATCTACCTTAGTCTGGGTTTCCTAGCAGGCCAGGAAGTTTGCATGCTAAAGCTTTATTGGGAGATGCAATCTTAGGGCAGGAAGACTGAGGGAGGAAGTGAGGTGAGGCAGTGAAGGAGAGAAAGCAAATACATGGTACTTTACCAAGTATAGAACCTTTAACAGGTTCAAAAGAAAACAAAGCCGGTTTTTAGTTAGGTGGGGCAATTTATAGAGAGGTCCTGTGGAACCATTGTGCCTTGGCAGGGAAGGAGGAAGGCAGAGATTTATCTGTTAGTTCCATGCTGTCTCTCGTTGCTCATTGGTCAAAGTTTGCTTCAGGGGACTTCTGAATCCAGTTAGGAAGTATAGATTGCAGGAGACCATTGCTCTCTATACAACAGAGAACAAACAAAGCAAACAACATGAGCTACAAAGTCACAGTTTTAAAAAACCCATCAGAATGCTGAAGATGCAAAGAAACAAAATGAAGTAAATTCCAGAAAGTGATAAGCCCTCCCTTGGGGAGAGGAGAAAATGGCTGCTGTCATCTCTGGCTAGGAGTCAGGCAAGAAAGTTGAGTGAAATCTCTCAGTGCCTTCAGTGAGTGTGTGATGAAGCTGGGGATGCTGCAGAAACAGTGAGAGAAAAGCTTCGAAGATGTGCTGGAACTTCACAGACTGCATTGCAGTGAGGGCAGGGCAGAAAGCCACCTTTTGAAGGGCAGCTAGCCAGGACAGAACTTCAGAACATAGAGAATCCTCAGCAATCAGCAGGCTGTACAGTGAGAAAGCTCTCGTGGTTTAGAAAACTGATGAATTAATTATACAGCGCAGAGACCCCAGAATCTCCCTCTGTTCATATCCCTGTTTCAGAGAAACTCCTGATCCCACTCTCAAAACATTTTCAGCTTGTAGCAAATTAAGTGCAACTCAAGATGCAACAAAGCTAGGTCCAGGTCAGCAACAGATTAGATTGGCTCCAGGCCCTGCAATGACAGCCTGGCACAAATGGAGATGTCCTTTTCAGGGTGTGTGTGTGTGCATAAATATTATTAATTCAGTCTCTACAGTTCTTTAAATAAAATGTCCAGCATACCGTTACCTTGATAGAGAGCATCTACAAAAAACCTACAGCCAACATCATACTTATTGTTGAAAGACTGAATGCCCCCTAAGATTGGGAATAAGGCAAGGATGTCTGCTTTCACCTCTCTTATTTAACATAGTGCTGGAAGTTCTAGCCAGTGCAATAAGGCAAGAAAGGGAAATAAAAGCTACGCAGATTAGAAAGAAAGAGAACTGTCTCTACTGCAGATGACGTGATTGTCTATGTAGATTCCAAGGAATCTATTTAAAAAAAACCCCGAGAAAACCCTAGAACTAATATATAAGTTCAGCAAGGTCACAGGATACAAGATAAACATACCAAAATCAATTTTAGCCATGAACATGTGGATACTACAATCAAATATACAATACTATTTATAATTACTCAACAAATTAAATACTGAAGCTGAAAATTACAAAACGCTGATAAAAGAAATCAAAGAAAATCCAAATAAATGGGAAGACATACTGTGTTCATGGACTGGAAGACTCAATATAGTAAAGATGTTGGTTGTCCCCAAATTAATGTTTAGATTTAATATAATTCCTATCAAAATCTCAGTGAGATTTTTTGTATATATATTCAAGATTATTCTGAAATTTATGTGTAAAGAAGGATATGTCCGTGACAAATAAGCACATGAAAGAATGTTCAACATTATTAGTCATTGGAGAAATGCAAATTAAAACCATGATAAGATATCATCACACACCTATAAGAATGGCTAAAATAAAAACATAGTGACAGCATTAAATTTTGATGAGGTCGAGAGGAAAGTAGATCACTCATACATTTTTGTTGGGGCTGTAAAATGGTACCGTTACTCTGGAGAACAGTTTGACAATGTCTTAAAAAACTAAACCCACAACTACCATAAAACCAAGCAATTGCACTACTGAGCATTTATTCTAAAGAAATGAAAATTTATGTTCATCAAAACACCTGTACACAAATGTTTATGGAAGCTTTATTTGTAATAGCCAAAAAGTAGAAACAAACCAGCTATCCTTCAACAGTAAATGATTAAGCAAACTGGGGTATGTCCCTACCATGGAGTGCTATTCAGTAATAAAAGAAATGAACTATGGATACCCATGACAACCTTGATGAATCTTCAGAGAATTATGTGGAGTGAAAAAGTCAGTCCCAAAAGGTTACATGCTGCATGATTCCATTTATATAATGTTGTTGAAATGAGAAAGTTATAGAAATGTAGCATAGATTGGTGGTTGGCGGGGGTTAAGTATGGGGTAGAGTGGAAGGTAGTTGGTATGGCTATAAAAGGGCAACAGAAGGGATCATTTTGGTGATGAAAATGTTCTATAACTTGACTGTATCAATGTCAATATCCTGATTGTGACACTGTACTAGGGTTTTGAATTATACCAGGGTTTTGAATTATATTACCATTGAGGGGATCTGGTAAATGGTACATGGGATCACTCGATATTATTCCTTACAACTGCATGTGAATGTTCAATTACCTCAAAATAAAAGTTCAATTAAAATAATTAAAAAAGGAAAAGCTACAGGGAAAAAATGTTCTCATTGACTAATCTATAACTACTAAACTAAATAAATATAGACAGATAGAGGGGCTGACTGAAAAATAAATTCAAGGAAATATCCCAGAATCTAGAGGCAAAAGTCAAAGAAGAAATTGCAGGAGAAAAGTAACAGACATAAAAGTTCAATATGGGAAAGCCAATGTTCAACTACTAGAAAAATCTCAGGAAGGACAGAATGAAGTGGAAGGGAGGAATTTATCCAAGAAATAATAGAAGTGAATTATTTAGAGTAGAAGCAGCACATGAGTGGATACATACCTAATGCCATCTTGGTGAAATTTTAGAACTCCAAGGAGGCTTAGAAACTTGCTCAGTGTCATACGACTAATAAACCCCAGAGCTGGGAATTGAATTCCAGCAGTCTAGCTCCAGAGTTTCTTCTTCTAAACTCTCTATGTTGAAAACAGGTAATCAGAAATGCCAAGTTCAGCAAAAAATGGTACAAAAATGTTAGTGTCCAAATTGGAAGCAAATTAAAATGAGATATGCTCTT